TTGTTGTGATGACTCGCTTAAGACAGAGTTTTGAAGAGAGCAGGAGCTTCTTAAAGAGACAGAGGACAAATTTCAATGTGTTAAATTGCGAAGNATACTTTAAATTTATTTTCTTAACAGTAGATAGCCCCGAAAACAGTGGCACTTGTGACCAATAATGGCAGGTGTCAGCAGAAGTGCCAGTATGAGGTGCCGAAGTCAGCCAAAGTCTGTGACAACACTGACAGCTAGCCCCGAAAACAGTGGCAGCCGTGACACATGCCTCCGGAAGTGCCACGGTAGGTGCGGTGTCATGATTTGCGCCTGCTGTTTCTCTCAGAGTGTCAGGGAGGAGCGACAGCGAGAAGACTCTATGGTCCTTTTTTTTTACAGCCATTCAGTACACCATCTGAAGGTAAACCAAGGTTTGTCTTGTATAGATGTAAGAAGAAGAACATTCTAGTTGAATTTTGATGCTAAATAAGTTTACATAATTAAAAACATACATTGGTATATAATTTTTGCCCAATAATTATATAAATTATTAACAGTGGGCTGTGGTCATCTTTAATAGCAAAAGCAAAACATCACACCAAAATATGAATACAATAAAATACACTGTTTACTTTGTGGGGAAAGAACACCTATGAAAGAATAATTGTTTTAAACAAAATCCCCCAAACACAAACAGGCCCACAGCATCACAAGTCCTCCACCATTATTAACAATGAATATCCTCTCCTTTACCACATACTTGTCTTTAGTCTCAGTCCTCATCCATCCAAAGAACATAGAAGCTTAATCATTAGTCATATGCCAGGATTTAAATCTGAACAACCTAAGCCAATGATGACTGATTTAAGGGTTTCAAAGATGTAACTTACAGTCTTTTTTCCAGAGAGATGTCATTAATTGTTGCTAAAGCAATTATTCTAACAATTTACAGTTATTCCTTGCCTTTTCCCCCTCCCTGGACTGAAAAATTTAAATTTGGGTTCTCTACCATTTTCAGCATGGGTAATAGTTATTGGGGGAATAAAATCTGGAATTCACCATGTTTCAAATGTCTGCCCTCCAAATCTGCAGACTTATACATTAAGCAAACTCATTAAGAGAGTTGTTTCCACAGGCCTTCATTCACTTTTATTGGTTGAAACGTAACAATGTGGTTTCATAACAGATACCTCACAGTGATCAACATCAGCAAGAAAAAAGCTAAATAAAGTTTCCTGCTCTGTGCATGCATCCGTTGCTTGGCAGCAAACACTTGGGTATATATACACATGCGTTTCCATTTGGGACTTGTGAAGTGAACATTTCCATGTAAGGATTTATGCGCTGCAATTTGGTAAACATTTCCATCCAGTGAGATGCAGCACAATGAAGTCACTCAAGGGACTCAGATTTTGCCAGTTCAGCTTGCAAATGTGAAAACTTGCTTTGACAGCAACTTAGTCACAAAACAGTCAGACAGTCCAGCTGTGTCTGTAACTTTGTTTCATCATGTCCCACTAATCAAATAATATTCATAACCTTGACTCTGCCTACCAAACCCAACAACTAGATTGTTCAACAGTCTCTGGCAGACTGAGCACATGAGTGTTTGTTGGAACCAAGCTCATTTGATAAGAACTAGCAATGTTTGTATTACATTTGATGTTAATGGTTCATATGCACAACAAAGCTGCTATGTCATACAGCATAGCAAATCCATGTCAATTTTTCCTGATAATAAAGTCTATTTTTGACCCTTGGAACGCCTGCTGAGAGGGCAAGGGCTAAAAAGAAGTCAAAAAATAATTGCCATGGTTTGGATCACACCCAGAGGAATTCAGCTGAGAGGATATTTTTGGCTGAGAAATGTCAAAAGCAATTTATTTATGTCAAATAGCTGTTTTACCTTATAGCAAAGCATTCGTTATGTGCTAATTAGTGTGTTGTTAGCATTATAAGTTCTTATAAAGCACTTATTAAATAGTCATTTATAAATACTCTGTTTTCTACAGTATGATTTTTTTAATCATATAAACCTTCTACACAGTGGACTCCTAGTATTCACATGACAGGGACCAAAGCTTGGGTAAGCTAAAATCTGCTAACACTGCAGATCCCCACTATAAAGGCTCACAAATACCTATTTTAATAGTTCAAATACCAAATATGCCTGAATATGGATTAATACACACAATGGAAACCATAATAGACAGTGGTCCACTTTTCAAATGAAAAATGTTTAATCTTCAGACTAATCTGTACTGTTGCTGACCAAATGAAAAAAATGCTAATTTAATACCTTCAAAAAAGTAAATATACAACTGAAACCGAGTTTTAGCATCTATTTCATAAATAAATAAGCTAGCATTACTGTTGGAATACACCTAGCTGTTACAGAAAGCAGCCGGTTAAAGCTGCTATAACTCATTTGAATTGTTCATAAATGCCACCTGGTTTATCTTTCTCAGACACATGATAATTGTAGCATTTCAATATGTACATTAATAATGACATTGATAAAGTATTAGTGCTATTAAAGACAAATGTTACGGCAACACTGAATACCAGAGTCAGTCTGTTCTCCCTGTTAGTATTTAGCAATTAGCTGACAACATGCTATCAACTGAAGATGGATTAATATGGGAAAACAAGGAAGATACTCATCAAATACAGAGTTGTGGGTTTCTATGGCGACTCAGACATTTCTAAAAAGAGCAGGGAGAAAATCTAAAGACAAGAACTTCAGCTTTTGACAACAGGCCCTGTGTGAATGCAAAAGTCAAAAAGATCTGTGTTTTTTAGGTGTACTGTGAATTACAACTCGCATTGAAGGTTTCCAATGCGAGTTTTAAAAGAATATTTGACAGTTGGAGTAACCTGGTTTCTACATCCTAATGAAGTTCAACCAGCCTTTTTTGATTAAAAACAATAATAATAAAAAAATGCTAGATTTAATAATTTTCAAAAATATTTTTTCTTTAGTTCTGTCTTGTGGACTACATGTCAAATGTACACACACACACACACACACACACACACACACACACACACACACACACACACACACACACACACACATATTTCAAGGGTAATTTTTTAAATTCTTTGATCTGGACATTGATTTTCTTCAAAAACAGAAAAAACCATAACTACCAAAAAACATCCGTCTTAAGAAGATTCTCCTCCATCAGTGGCAACCACTCCGAGACGGGAAACAGATAGGACGACCTTTTGTGCCTTACCATTGACAAGCATTAAAAAATGTTACCACTATTTGTATCCATCGCATAAATGATACATTGTGATCTTGAAGACTGAAGATATCTTGCATATAAAAAGCTTCCTTTATGAATGATGAGGGAAACATGCTGTGAGTGTTCCCCATTCATCACTGATCCTCCGGTCTTCCTCTATCAATGCAGAGTTTATCCAGAGTTTGTGTTTGTTCAACAATTCCACTGGGATGAATTTAAGTAAATGACCTTGGTGGGTATTACTCTGCACACACTGGCAGACCCCACGGCCTGTTGGGTCTAATTAGCCAGTGACCAACCTGGACACAAATCCTCACCCCCCGGCTCACACTTATAAAACAGCAGGCCTTCTCTCCTGCATCTTTTCCATCCATGGTTTCACAAAATGACATATGAGGTTCTATGAGCAAACAGCCCTCTAGGCATCCTCCTGACTCACACCTTTCTCCCTCTCCAAGCCCCCAAGGTGAGCTGCAGATGTAAGTTGGGCCAAATAACGTTAACTCAGGGTGCAGCCACGACACAAAATAATCAGCATTTATACCTGCGGTGTTAGGTTTCACATACCAGAGCTATTCCTGGGTCCCATGGATAAACACCTATTAGTGTGCAGCACTGGACGGGGTTAACACTGGCTTGTTTTGTGGCCAGGCACGACACCTCGAGGCTTGGCCCCACCGATCGATAGGAAAAGTGACTGTGGACGTCCACAGTAGCGTCACTGTACAAAGGTGTGCGGAAGATGGCAACTTTTAATTGAATGTGAATGGACATTTGAGCCTCCTTGGGTTCTTTCCATGCAGGGAATGCTCCTGACACAGTCTTTTTGTTTAGTTTGTTAGTTTGCTTATGCATTCTCAGCGCCGGCGCAGGCGGGCGGTGCTGATTGAAACAAACAGGCTGCACCGTGCAAGCTGCACAGTTTTAGTTTCAAGCTGTCCCAGAGCAACTTTGCCCCTCTTTTTCATCAAATCAGTACTGGCAGTGCAACATTTGCAGGAAGGAATCCTAGGATATTTACAACAGTGTCAGAAAATTCATATCTTTCACCAAATGAAATGTCACTAGATACTTACTGTTATGTATAATACTTTTGTTTGTTGTTGTTTTTTTTTGTTTTGTTTTGTTTTTTTAACAATTATTATTTTTACTCTAGTCCAGTTATTCATGGTGCAAAAATAGGAACTGAAAGAAAATTTGCAACATTTTACAAATAAAAATCTGAAATGTGTGGTGTGTTAATATGTAGGGAATACAGCTAACAAATTACCAGATGAGACCAACACATTAGAGGTAGTATCATTTAACCCATAAACCTGCAGCAAATAGAATTGAAAGTTAGTCATGTTTACAGTTTCCCCTAAGCTTTGTGAAAGTAGCAGCATCATGCTGTTGAAGTTGCTAAGTGATGGGAAGTTTGATGGAGACGCAAAAGCCTTGATGCTGAAAGCTAGAGTGGTGTAAGTTGTGTGATAGGATGGTCTAGTCAAAGTCAAGATCTTGAGGAGCAGGTAAAGATTTCAGTCAGTAGATGTTCAACTTGAACCTTAAACTATTGACTCAGAGAAGATGAATAGTGTGCCATACTTTTCAAAAATCTGTGAATCATCCATCAGTTTCCTTCAGCTGTAAAACTGGCAACCATTTCCTGTAGATGTATCACATGAATTCCCCTCAATGCAGTTCAAGTTCAAATAGTTTGCTCTAGTGGGAGTACATTTTTTTTATAACTATATAAACAAAATAAAAACCCCACCATTTTATCCATCATCCTAAATATAAAGCGCGTCCCCTAATAACGTCCACTTGTGTCCAGATCCCAAACCTGGGAACTTGTAGGACCCAGCAGCCCTCCCATTCCCGGCTTCACCTGTTCGCATTCACATTTCTTGCCTCTTTTTTTCAGTCGGGATTGTCTCCGATCAGCCCCGACACCATGACCAAAGTCCGCACGCCTCCAACCATGCTATGGTTCACCGGCTGCAGCCTGCTGCTCCTCTCCGCGCCCTTCGCCTGCGCCTCCCTGTCCGAGATGGTGTTCCGCTGCCCGGGCTGCACCGCGGAGCGCCAGGCGCTCTGCCCGCAGCTCGCCGAGCCATGCGCGGAGATGGTGCGGGAGCCGGGATGCGGGTGCTGCCCCGTGTGCGCCCGGCAGGAGGGCGAGGCGTGCGGCGTCTACACCCCGAGGTGCTCCACCGGTCTGCGGTGCTACCCGACGCCCGACTCGGAGCTACCCCTGGAACAACTGGTGCAAGGCCAGGGCCAGTGTCGGCGCAAAGTGGACACGGAGACGGTCACTTACAGCCCGGAGCAGCGGGAGCACAGCAGCGGTCAGTCAGTTCACTGAAAACCTCAATCAATTTTTAATGACACTGTCTAGACTGCAGCCTATAGACAGATTGCACTGTCATGAACCGTCCAATAAGGTACAGTGACCATACTTCTGCCTATTAGTGCATAATAACTCTTAAATGTGCAGCGTTGTAAATAAAAACACGGTTTTATGACTAAAATTATGAATTAAGAACTGTTTTGGAGAGCTACTTCTATTTATTTTCATGCATTTAGTTTGTGGAACCATGTAACAGATTATGTGTTGAGTTCACTTCAGCCAGTTCATCTCAGCTGTTCTCCAAAACAGCTGGATATCCAGCCTTTCCCCTCCGAACAACAGAGAGCAAGTTGCTTGCTAAAGAAAGAGAGAGAAAAAAACTCTCTGAAGTTGTACTTGGATCGAAACAGAAAACATTGAAATATTGATGTTTCCACAGGGGAGAACAGGGAGGGGACAGCAACAGGAATGCTGCAAGGATTGCAATGCTGGATCTTAAGCTTTGGCCAGATGAAGCTGTTGACAGTGACTGCATTAATCTAAAGCTGCTGGTCTAAACCTGAAAAACTAGCTTGAAACACATTTATAGTTTTCTACCACAATCCAAAGCTAAAGTGTAATTTATTAAAATTTTTGTGATAGAAAAACAAAATTTACTTTGATGCACCGAAATAAAAACTGTTGGAACTACAGTTTAAACCCATCAGTTTGTTTGTGAACCACAACCTGCCCGGGATTATGGATAAAAAATATGTTGATAAGGAACTATTCTCAGATTTTTCAGTGGAATATGACCCCAAATTAGTTGCAGAAAAATATGCTAATTCACAGATTTTTTTTTTTGGTCTAGCATATCTAAAATATTTGAAGAAAATGCATCTTAAACAGCAAGCTGTAATGCTACTTGATACTGGCTGGCATTTGCAAAGCAAGAGCGGCATTTATTTTTCTTGCTGCTGATTGGCTGAGAGAAGAAAGACCATAAATATTAGCTTCTGCTCATGTTAAATTCATCAATACAATTCTCAGCGACTATCAAATAGAAGAGGAAAGCAAACAGGAAGTATCTGAAATGCATTCTTAGACTTGCCTATTGCTGCATTTTAGCCCAAAATGCCTTACGAAAGTCTTTACACCTCTTAAACTTTCTTTGACATTTTGTAATGTTACTACGAGAATTTTCAGTGCATCACATTTTATTCTATCTAGACCAACTCTAAATAAGGCAGGAAAGAAAAAAAAAAAAGATTCAAAATATTAAAATTAGCAGCCAGTGTGGTGGTTCTTAGCTGAACGGTGCATCCTTCTACCACCCTGCCAACCAATCAAAACACAGGAAATGCAGCATTGTCCCATAGAATGCACTTAAAATACTCTTTGTATTCTCAGTTGTAAGATTTACTGCAAAAGCCATGAAACCAACAGAAAACTATAATCAGTCATCTTCCCCTTCTAATGATCCCCAAACAGGAACAAGTAAGTGGTTAGTGGATGTTTGGTTCACTGTGATACAGTGTAGTATTTCCTTGAAGAAAGAAGTCAATGTAAGAATTTATGAATTTCCCTGATCCTGGACTGATTATGCTAAAAAAAAAACAATAAAAAAATAAAAGTGATAATTTATTTAGGCCACATGATGAATTTCTGCAAAATATTATGCATCTGTTTATCATGCTGTAAATAAACATACAAAGTTTTCAAATGACAGTTGTATTTATCAAGGGGAAAAAGCTCCTGAAACTTAATAAGTGGTTCTGCCGTTTGCAGCAACAACTGCCATCAAGCCTTTGCAATAATAAGTAATGAGTCTCTGGAGGAACATTACTGAATCGCTTCCTGGCAGAAATGTTTTATCCAGCCACACTGGGGGATTTTTCAACAGGAACAGCCTGTTTAAAAAGGCTAAAAGACCTTTCATTTTTTTATTTTATTGTCATCCAGAGGCTGCTCTGCTTTTTTAAACATGTCCTGTCTAGCGGTGTGGCACTCAAAATTGTTGTCAGAGAGTCAAAGTGAGGCCTATTAGATTTACTTTCACAAGCGGCGCATTACAGCTTTCACCATGATTGATATATATGAGACTTTATTAGAAGTTGCTTTGGGTTTGCTACTTTTCTGAGATCTTTTAGCCTGCTTTGTGTTGTCAGACAGGTTCTATTTAAAAGTGTTTATAAAAACAAAACCAAACAAAGAGCAAGTACTTTTTCACTAAGTGAAAACAAATGCAGAGCTTTATATTTAGAGTTCTAGAAAGTAAAGAACTTTGTGTTTCAAACTGAAGCAACTAAATAATTTATCTTGCCATTAATTCTTTTTACATAACAGGTTTTGTCTTGACTTATTTCTTTTAGCAGCAATAGATCATCTTTCTTCTTAGTTTTGTATTGATCCAAAGTTATTCACTGTGAATAATCTCTATTGTGTAATACGCATTAGGAAAGGATGATGACCTTTAAAACAAAAGTTCCAATCGATTCAATTAAAAATAGCTTATTGATCCGTAAAGGTACATGAATGTTTTTCCAAGTTCTCTTAAAGAGCTGCTTTAGTGACGTGTCATCAATTTAATAAAGTCAACTGTACAACAGGGAAAATGTCAGTAACACTTTATTTGAAGGGGGTTGAATAAGACTTTATTCAACCCCCTTGAATAAAGTCTTATTCAATTACAGTTTAAAAGCTTATGCATACCATGACAGTGTCATTTTTATGACACTGTCATAAACATGACATAACACATGTCATGAACATGAATAAGCCTTCATGAATATTTATGACTGTTGTCATAAACGTCATTCGGTAAATTATGACACTTTTAATACAAAGTTGACATTATTCAAAATGTCTTTGTTATTACAACTTTACATTAACCAATAAATTATTACTGTTTAAACTTTACCTTTAATAACATAAAGTTACCTAATTTTTAAAGTGCAATCAATAATACTTTTATAACAAATTTATATCAGTAATGATTTCTTGGTTAATGTCAAGTTGTCATAACAAAGACATTTTGAATAATGTCAACTTTGTATTAAAAGTGTCATAATTTACTGAATGACGCTTTATGACAACAGCCATAAATATTCATGAAGGCTTATTCATGTTCATGACAGGTGTTTATGATAGTGTCATGTCAGTCTTATTCAACCCCCTTCAAATAAAGTGTTACCAAAATGTCTAATCTTTTCTCCTGTTACACAGGAAATCTGTTACTTTAAAGGAGCCAGACTCACCGCACTACTTGCCTAAGTGCGGTGACTTTTGATACCACACTTGTCATATTTTTGTGGTTTTAGTATTGACTTTGCTTTGAGCTGTTACTTGATAAGGCATTTTATGATGTTCAACTGATTCATATTTATATCTGCTATAAATAAGAAATTACAGTTTAAAAGCTTATGTATACCACATCAATCATTGTAAGAGTTGAAACCCAACATGCCATTCTCATGCAGAGTTTCTGAAGTTTATATTTCTGTACCTCTTTGAATATTTCCCCACAGTTTTGCCAAAAAAAAAAAAAAAAAACTAGGCAGTTTTCATATAGTCTCCATTTTGTTGAACAAACAGAGGATAGATTAGGCTCTTTACAAATGACTGTTCAGATTTATGGAGGATCTTATATTTAAGGTGATGAAATAGATGCTTTCTTTTATGGTTTTGATACCTCAATTTGGACTAACAAATGACACAAACCATTTGAATAAAAAGTCTGTTTGTTATAATGTTTGGGATTAATTTTTATCCTGAAACATCCTTCTTTACAAAGAAAGACACATTTCACATCGGCTTTTTGTCTTTATACAAAAGATTGTTTGATATTAGGTTTCCAAGGAAACCGACATCCGAGTAGGGTTAGCTTTATCAGATCCAACAGTTGTTTTGACTAGAACTTTACCAAGACTTCAGAAAAGATTAAATCAACTTAAAAAGACTGAAATAGTCCATGGTCTTTATTAGATGAATCATAAAAAAGGCTCAAAACTCAGTGTAGTTGATGTTGACTGTTGATTGATCCTAAAAACAGCCCACTGTCAGAGTTAATTTTCACCCAGCTATTATTAGGGTCCATTTGAGTTGATGATAATGAGAAAGAAAAACATGACGTTTTGCTGTTATGGAGAGAGTTGTCATGGAGAAGGAAAACTGGAGAAACAAAAGGGAGCTAAAAACAACCCGCGCCCTCAGCGACTGGAATCACATTCATTGAGAAGTGGCATTCCTGTGTACCTGCAGGGTGTCCAGACAGATCTGGCGGGCCTGAAATAGCAGCAGGATAATCCCCCTGACCCATCCCCAAAAATCCCATCTAAAAACGGGTATTTGCACCGTCTTCCCCCGAGGCATCGACTTCAGTCATCTCCGTGCCAGGAATCTCCTCGTTCCTATTGAGAACCAAAATAAATTCCCACTGTCCATTTTGTCTAATGGTTCTTAAAACTGAACAAGCATGAAGGGTCGGCTGACAACTTTGAAAATGTTGGCGTAGATTCAAAGATACTAATGATAATGTTTTAGCTGTTTGGTTGCAACCTATAGACCTATAGAGCAGACATTTCTAACTTTACTCAATCAATCAAGTTTATTTGTATAGCACATTTCAGCAGCAAGGCAGCTCAAGGCGAGGTACATAATAAAAACACAAAATTTGAGTTTTAAAGAAAACATCATACAATCAACAACTGAACAAATATAACCAAAATCATGCACATCACATATGTTGGTCAATATTTCATTTATTGTGGTTCAAAAGCATCTCTAAACAGCTGGGTTTTTAGTCTTAGCTTAAAGGAACTGAGTGTTTCAGCAGTTCTCTGGAAGTTTGTTCCACATTTGTGGTACATTGAAGCTGAACGCTGCTTCTCCCTGTTTGTTCTGGTTCTGAATACAGACCAGAGCCAGAAGACCTTAAAGGTTTGGAAGGCTGACACAACAGCAGAACTTTAATCTTTAAATCAGTGATTTCTAAATTACCAACAGTATTTTAAAGTCTATTCTCTCAGTGAAGGATTTTAGAACTGGAACTC